GTCCAATGACAGGACAAGAGGCAATGGGTACAAGCTGGAACATAGGAGGGTCCACAAAAATATTAGAAAAAACTTTTTCATTGTGAGGGTGACAGAGCCCTGGCACAGGCTGCCCAGGGAGGTTGTGGAGTCTCCTTCTCTGGAGACAATCCGCCTGGACGTGTTCCTGTGTGACCTTTTCTAGGTGATCCTGTTCTGGCAGGGGGGGTTGGACTAGATGATCTTTCAAGGTCTCTTCCAGCCCCTAGCATTCTGTGATTCTGAGATAAACATCTTTTAAATACCTCTAGGGATGGTGACTCCACCAATTCCCTGGGCAGTCTGTTCCAATACTTGACAACAGTTTCAATGAAGAAATTTTTCCTAATGTCCAATCTAAACCTCCCCTGGCACAACTTGAGGCCATGTCTTCTCATCCTATAGCTTGTTACTTGACTGACTGCTCCCTCACTGCCATCTTCTTTCAAACAGTTGTAGACAGTGATAAGGTCTCACCTCAGCCTCCTCTTCTCCAGACTAGACAATCACAGTCACTCCTCATAAGACTTGTTCTCAAGTCCAATCACCAGCTTCATTGCCTTCTCTGGAAATGCTCCAGCACCTCAATGTCTTTCTTGGAGTGAGAGGCCCAAAACTGAACATAGTACTCGAGGTGCGGCCTTACCTGTGCTGAGTACAGGGGGACAATCCCTTCCCTGGTCCTGCTGACCACACTGTTTCTGATATAGATCATGATATAGATCAGCTGACTGTCCACCAACACCCCCAGGTCCTTTTCTGCCAGACAGCTTTTACTTTCTACTGAGCAGCTCTCCAGCCACTCCTCCCCAAGCCTGTAGCGCTGCCTGGGGTTGTTGCGACCAAAGTGCAGGACCTGGCCCTTGGCCTTGTTGAACCTCATACAGCTGGCCTCAGCCCATTGATCTAGCCTGTCCAGATCTGTCCTCTGTAGAGCCTTCCTACTCTCAAGCAGATCAATGGTCTTGCTCAGCTTGGTGTCATCCATAAACTTACGGAGGGTGTGCTCGATCCCTTCATCCAGATCACTGATGATATAAATATTTGCCCCTGTTAAGGGTTCAAACGTCCAACTGCAGCTTCATTGCTGAGAGGAGGCATAATGCAAGAGATGTAAGAGGTGAGAGCCATAGCCAATACATATATGAAAAGGCAGGCCATTGAGGATGGTCCTTTATGACTGTGCAGATACGATACATCTCTAGACCAGAGATGAGTAGCATGCCATGTTTGCAGGACTGAGCCACTAAAGTAGGAGAGGAAGACTGATGCCACAGAAAAACTGTTACCAGAAAAAAAAATTGAAACTGAACTTCCTAAAAAATTGCACAGGTTTTTAATTGCTTTTAGATGCCGTTCGAAATGAAAAGTTGTCACTACCTTTCCCCCTTACTATTTCCTACAGCAGAATGTTCAACAAAAAACAAAAATCAAGACCTACATACACCTGGCAAGTATGGGCCATCTACATGATCTTAGCTGCAAACCTCTCTGAAGAGCAAGTGCTGAAGCAGGCTTGTCCTTCGTGTGATAATGCTCAGATCTGCAGCTGCTCTGCCGTGGGCTTGGACTTTATTCCCTTGAGGCTCGCAGCCAAAATCACGGTGTTAAACCTGTCCCACAACAGGATAAAGCGCATCCGATCCCAGGATCTGCAGCAGGCTGTGAACCTGAGACACCTCCTGCTGCAGTCCAATGAAATCAGCTCAATAGACAAGGGCTCATTTCGCTCTCTCGGGAAACTGGAGCTCTTGGACTTATCAAATAACAGCTTGGCTTGCTTGTCCCCTGCGTGGTTTGGGCCCCTTCTTTCGCTCCAGCACCTCCACCTTCAAGGGAATTCTTACCGAGACCTGGGGAAAGGCTCCCTCTTTTCTAGCCTGAGGAACCTGAGCTCTCTCCACCTGGGCAATCCACAGTTCTCCACGATAAGGCAAGGGAACTTTGATGGCATTGAGCTTCTTGACAAGTTGTGGATCGATGGTGGCAATCTCAGTCAGTATGAGCCAGGAAGTTTGAAATCAATTAAGAAGATAAATCACATGAGCATAAACCTAAGAAATACTTATGTATTTTCAGCAATTGTCAGGGACATTCTGCACTCTGTCATTTTGTTAGAAGTAAGAGAACTCACATTAGACATTATAAAAAAAAGCTTGGTGCAGAACTCTACACTTCCTTTCAGGATACAAAAACTTAAGTTTAAAGATGTTTCATTCACAGATCAGTCTATTAGCCAAATCCTAGCATTACTGAAGGAAATCACATCTCTGCAAGAGTTAGAGGCAATTGATTGTCTGCTTGAGGGAAAAGGAGACTGGGATATTAAAGAAATTACAAGACGTGGGCAAAGTTTTGTTGAAACAGTTTCAATAAAAAATATAATTATTCAGAATTTCCATTTGTTTGTTGACCTGGATGGTATGGAGTCACAAATAAACAGACTGAAAAGACTCACAGTTGCAAGCTCTAGAGTTTTCATGGTAGCATGCAAGCTTGCAAAACATTTTTCATCACTTGTGTATCTGGACTTTCATGATAATTTGCTTGTAAATAATCGGTTGAACGAGACAATATGTGGAGGTGCTTGGCCTTCACTGCAAACTTTAAATCTAAGTCAAAATTCTCTAAAATCTCTCAAACAGACTGCAAATTCTGTAACTCGTCTACGCAAACTGATAAATCTTGACATCAGCCAAAATAATTTTGGTGCAATTCCAGATGTATGTGAATGGCCAAAAACCC